CTTTCTATTTTGTTGCATTGATGTATTTGCATATCCCAGTACTTATATCACATTGTCTTGATTACTATGTCTTTATAATAATTTTGATAGATCAAGCTCTTTCATTTTGTTGTTCTGCATCAATAACTTGGTTTTCCTGGCCCTTTCAAGAAGCATTTAAGATTTTACTCTACTTGAAATCTAAAAAGTTAGTCCACCATGGTTTCATGGATGATGATATTAGACATGAAACTCCTGAGTAAGAGGCAGGGGACTTTATTAGTCATGGCACAGCAAGTGGTATGAGCATGAGATGTATGTGTCAGTGCCCCTTGCCCACAAGTCCCATAGGGGTGATGCATATGGACCTAGATAGATGCTTGCACACACAGTGGGTTGCAGTATAGAGAGGACTCTGAGCTTAGGGAACTAGAATCTTTTATAGTAGGCAGTGAGCATGCCTGCTTTTTGCTCTAAAGAGAGACACTATCTTTACCTTCCCAGGCTGTTTGCTATACAAACGTCCGTGCAAAAATAGTTGAGAAAAAAGGGCCGTCCGTGCCTCTACTTACAAAATGTATAGAAACATCAAGGACCCTTGGAGAATTGTCTCACAACTGGCCCTTTGATCTTCGATGTACATTACATGCTAAATTAAGCTTGTCATGTATCACACACACATGCATACATATGACCTATTGGGAATTTGTTTTGAATTGCACTGAATCTATAGATTGAGGGAGAGCTGACTTTCTTATAATCCTGAATTCCTAATTTATGACCATGGTTTATCTGCATTTATTCAGTCTACCTTAATGTGTCTCAATAAAGTTTCCATAGAAGTCTAGCAGATCTTTTGTTTAATTTATTACTTAGTGAGATTGTATCCTATCTTGCCTCAAACTCCTGCAACGTCTCTCTATTTTATAAAATTCTAACACTGGCCTGCAAGGCTCTTCATGATCAGGTTCCCCATTACCTCTTTGCCTTCATCTCCTTCTATTCCCCATTCTGCTTCAGCCACGTTGACGTCCTTGCTGTACTTTTAATATGCCAGGCACTCTTCTGCCTTAGGCCTTAGCACTGGCAATTTTCCTTTGCCCATAATGCTTTTCTCCCAGAAATATTGGCATGGCTGACTATCTCCTTCAGTCTTTGTTCACGTTACCTCCTCAACAATGCCTATCCTTATTAAAAATTACAAACTGCCTCGTATCTCCTGGCATTCTTGATTCCTCTTACCCTGCTCTGTAGTTTTCCCTTAGCATTTCTCATTGCGGTACGCGGGCCTCTCACTGTTGCGGCCTCTCCCGTTGCGGAGCACAGGCTCCGGACGCGCAGGCCCAGCGGCCATGGCTCACGGGCCCAGCCGCTCTGCGGCACGTGGGATCTTCCCGGACCGGGGCACGAACCCGTGTCCCCTGCATCGGCAGGCGGACTCTCAACCACTGCGACACCTGGGAAGCCCAGCATTTCTCATTTTATATCCTATTAATTAATAGTAAACAATACTATCCTACCAAATATCCTATTTATTTAAGTATTTGTCTGTTTGTTGAATGTATTTGTCATTTATTTTTGCCTCCTGTAACTAATATTTTAGCTGCATGAAGCAAGGATCTTTTCATTTTTATTTGCTGATGAGTTTCAAGTGCTACGCATATAGCAGATACTTAAGAAATATTCTTAAATAAATTAAGCAATTTTTCCTAGGTATGTCATATCTCTTGCTGCTATTATGCATGTTATTTAAAAAACTAAAGTTTCTGTATGTTTGCTGCTGACATATTGAAATGCAATTCATATTTGATGGTTATTTTTGTATTCAGAAACTTTTCTAAATGCTCTGACTCCCATAACTTATCTATAGATTTGTATTTTTTACACAGAAAACCATGGCATCTGGACATAATGATAGTTTTTTCTTCTTTTCTTTCCTTCTAATTTTATATTTAATATTTCTTTTTCTTACTTTACTTACTTTCAGCACAATATTTCTAGAAGTTGTGACAGCAGGCATCTTGTTTTGTTTCTTGTTTTAATGGAAATGCTTTCACTGTTTTACATGATGCTTAGAGTCTGTTTAATGAAGTTTTAGGTGGTCTTAGTCTATTTAATGAAATTTCTTTTAATTCCAAATTTCCTAAGAATTGCTTGTTTATTGTGAATGAATATTCAACTCTATTAGGTAATTTTGCTACTATTGAGATACATCATAAGTTTGTTGTCTTTTGATCTTTTAATGTGGCAAACTACATTATTGATTTCCTAATATCAAACCAACTGGCATTGCTAGGAAAAATCCCACATAGTCACGCTGTATTATCTTTTCTACACTTTGCTCAATAGGTCTGCTATCGTTTTGTTGAGATGTTTTGCATCCGTTTTTATGACAGAGATTGCCCTGTACTTTTCCTTTCTTATACCTGCCTAGTTTTGGAATCAAGCAAACAGTATTCTCATGAAATGAATTGGAGAGTACATCTCCCCCTGCTCCCATACATTTGAATAGTTTTATAAGATTAGAATAATCTATATTTTCAGTGTTTGTAAAACCTCAACATAGAAACCATCTTGGCCTGGAATTTTCTTGTGTAAATAGAGCTGCAGTGAACATTGTGGTACATGACTATTTTTGAATTATGGTTTTCTCAGGATATATGCCCAGTAGTGGGACTGCTGGGTCATATGGTAATTCTATTTTTAGTTTTTTAAGGAACCTCCATACTGTTCTCCATAGTGGCTGTATCAATTTACGTTCCCACCAACAGTGCAAGAGGGTTCCCTTTTCTCCACACCCTCTCCCTCATTTAATGTTTGTATTTTTTTGATGATGGCCATTCTGACTGGTGTGAGGTGATACCTCATTGTAGTTTTGATTTGCATTTCTCTAATGATTAGTGATGTTGAGCATCCTTTCATGTGTTTGTTGGCCATCTGTATATCTTCTTTGGAGAAATGCCTATTTAGGTCTTCTGCCCATTTTTGGATTGCGTTGTTTGTTTTTTTGATATTGAGCTGCATGAGCTGCTTGTATATTTTGGAGATTAATCCTTTGTCTGTTGCTTCATTTGCAAATATTTTCTCCCATTCTGAGGGTTGTCTTTTTGTCTTGTTTATGGTTTCCTTTGCTGTGCAAAAGCTTTTAAGTTTCATTAGGTCCCATTTGTTTATTTTTGTTTTTATTTCCACCTCTCTAGGAGGTGGGTCAAAAAGGATCTTGCTGTGATTTATGTCATAGAATGTTCTGCCTATGTTTTCCTCTAAGAGTTTTATAGTATCTGGCCTTACATTTAGGTCTTTAATCCATTTTGAGTTTATTTTTGTGTATGGTGTTAGGGAGTGTTCTAATTTCATTCTTTTACATGTAGCTGTCCAGTTTTCACAGCAGCACTTATTGAAGAGGTTGTCTTTTCTCCATCGTATATTCTTGCCTCCTTTATCAAAAATAAGGTGGCCATATGTGTGTGGGTTTATCTCTGAGCTTTCTATCCTCTTCCATTGATCTATATTTCAGTTTTTTGTGCCAGTACCATACTGTCTTGATTACTGTAGCTTTGTAGTATAGTCTGAAGTCTGGGAGCCTGATTCCTCCAGCTCAGTTTTTCTTTCTCAAGATTGCTTTGACTACTCAGGGTCTTTTGTGAATTTAATTTCTTATCCTGAAATAGTGATGTGACAATTCTTCTAAGAAACATGGGATTCACTGCTTCCCAGAAGTCAGCTACATGACATTGTGTCCAGTTGGTGAGTCATGGTTTTCTTTCTTTCTCACTCATAAGAGGGCAGTATCTAAGATCTTGATCTTTGATGGGTTTTTGACAGGTTTCCACATCCCATGGCTTCAGGATGTTTTGGAAGTTCTACTATGCTGGTAGTACACTTCTTATGAACAGCAGTGGAATTGCCTCAGGATAAAGAAAATAATTTTTCCCAATAAGGACTGGTAAATATTGGCATTTTTCAAAATGCTGGGACTCAATGCGTTTAGCTTTGTTTGTTAGGGTTATTTAGGGATACCTTATATGAAGACATGGGAATGGATTAGATATCTATTATTTTATGCTATCCAGGATTTTAAAAAATATATATGGGAGTAATTTTAAAAAATGAACTGTAGTTTCATACTGGAATACACAACATTAGGCACATCTGTTTTCTCTGAGATCATTCTCCTTCAGTGGAGACCCCAATGCTGTACATGTACCATGTGACTTCACTCCCCTGGCCATCAAAGAGTAGAGGTTGTGGGCTCTTGAACCATACAGGGTGAAGAAAAATTGGAATTTGGATTCAAAAGTATTAGACTTGACCTCGTGAGCTGGAAAGACACATAAACATGGGAGATGAGGCTCACGTTTTGGTTTGACCATCTTCTGCCATGAGTACAGTAAACGTCATCAAGATGGAAAGAAGAGGGAAGCTGAATTTAAGAGGAGCAGAGAAGAGCTAATATGTGGCTTCAGGGAGAGAGAAGGAGACTTGAGTCTTGGTGCCAGTGTAGTTCTTGTTCTCAGTCTTTTTGATACCAGCTGCTTTCTTGCCCTAAGAGTATTTTAGATATTCCAATATCCTTGTAATACACCTCCTCCCCTTTTCTGGCTCAAGCTACTTTGAGTGGATTTCTGCCCTCGCTGATTTAAGACGTTACTGTGCACATCAATTATAGAGCTGTCTTCACGGTAGTTGGATGGTCTTGGAACTATTCCCAGAGCTGTGGTTAGTAGTATCTGAAGCAGCTAAAGGGGTTCTTTATAAGGGACACATCCTGAGTATAGGCTAATGGCTGGGTCTAATGCACTTTGACAACTTGCTGCCACCACATTGCCTTTTTTTCCAAATAGAAATCATAAAGAATTTTAGTGTAAATTGAACTCAGTGCTAAATAGGTTTATTGACACTTAAAGAAACCAGACAGGACTAGGAGAAAACATCTCAGAATGACATCATTAAAAACCATTAGAACCCATATTTTTCTGCGTAGAATATTCTGATGGCTAAACCCACAGCAGCATTTTTTTTTAGTTCTCCACTGTTTCTCCACAGAAGGAAATGTTCAGAATCCAGTATATATCAATATTGAAGCATTTTCCTATGTATAAAATCTGGCTTGGCTCTGATAAAAAGAAAAGAAGAAACCAATATCAATGCCTTTTCGAGGACCTGCTTTTTTAGGGGATTAGAGGCAAGGAATGTCACACAGTTTTCAAACTAGCTCTGCAGTAATTTCAAGATTTAGCTAGCTAGCTATCAAGATTAAATCAATCAATTCAGAGGTCTGGAAAGTTGCTGTTATGTTAGGTCCCCGTGTGAACTCTTTGTTTTTATGTAAATTATTCTTTGAATGCCCAGAATTAGTGATTGTTTGAGCTATAAAAAGCCAATAGAGTCTATTGGTGTTCTCCTTTCATTTAGTGATTCATGCATTTCTTTGAATATGTCTTGAGTTTACTCTAGATTCACCCTTGAAAGGAAATATTTCAGGGTGGTTAAAAGCACAGAGTCCAGAGCTCAAATGCTTAGGACTGACCCAGGCAAGGGGTTTGTGACCTCTCTCTGTGCCTGTTTCCTCATCAGAAAGTGAGAATAACAATAAAACCTATCACATAAGATTGCGTTCAGGAGCAAATGAGTTAACACACTTAAAGCACATAGAATAGCGCGTGGCACAAAGCAAGCGCTACAGAAGTGTTAACCTTGATTACCATCTCTCGAGTAATTGGTGTCCTCTGTGGACATGCCCGGAAAATAGTCTGACAATCCCACCAGCATTAACTTGGAGTGCACCGTAGAGAGGCTACTCACCTTGAATCTCTTCAGCCATGTATGTTGGTATCCCCTTACACATGGCAATGATGGATTTTCCAAACTGGTCCAGGTTGTTGACTTTGTCAGGGTTGACTGTGTATATCAGGCTCTTGGGAGATGGTTTCCCTAGTCCTTTACCCTGAAGCTGAGTGTGCACAAGACAGGTGGAAAGGAGGAGAGAGAAGCAGTGCTAAGCCCAGTGGTTTGTTGGGTTGGGGGTTAGGTTCAAGGTCAACAAGGGGGTATTGCTTGGCTATAACTTTTCCATAATCAGAATGAAGAAGGATCAATTCCAGCCCTGTATATCTCAGAATTCTGTAGTGTCCCAAGGAATTTAGCTGGTTTGAAACCCCAGCTTTTCGTATAAACAGAAGTCTGAGGGTAAATTTATTCTGAAGGTTGAACCTCATTTGGTCATCTTATATTTCTTGGAATGATTTATATGATAGTCAGTTTCTGAGAATGCAGTTTTCTCTACACTGTCAGCGAAAGTTACCCACTTATCAGTTATAGGGATATAAACTCAGGCTGACATTTTAAAGAATGATAGATCCCCTCTCCCCACCTACCCCAACTAGGGTTGCCAGATAAAATACAGGACACCCAGTTAAATTTTAATTTCAGATAAATAACAGATCATTTGTAAGTATAAGTATGTCCCAAATATTTCATAGGACATACTTATGCTAAAAATTACCCATTGTTTATTTGAAATTCAAACTTTACTGGGTATTCTCTATTTTTATTTGCTACATCAAATAACCCTAACCAACTCTTTTTTTTTTTTTTTTTTTTTTTTTGCGGTACGCGGCCTCTCACTGCTGTGGCTTCTCCCGTTGCGAAGTACAGGCTCCGGACGCGCAGGCTCAGCGGCCATGGCTCACGGGCCCAGCCGCTCCGCGGCATGTGGGATCCTCCCAGACCGGGGCACGAACCCGCGGCCCCTGCATCGGCAGGCGGACTCTCAACCACTGCGCCACCAGGGAAGCCTCCTGACCAACTCTTGCAGAAAAAAGTCCTTGAAGTACTGAGGGCTCCCACTGGTGTGAGCAGAGCTTTGCTCGGCTAACAGTAAAGGTGAGGTGTTTTGATCGGCTTCTGTGGAGGCAGGTGTGAGCCACAGCATTCGAGTGTGGTGGCAGCTCTCTCTCCTCAGGCAATTACCAATTCCTCTTTCCCTTTTTTTGCTCCACAGAACAATATACTGTGGTCAAGATTTCTAGCTGTGACCTTCTCATTATTTATTGGAAATCATAAGACTTCCCTGAGTAAAAATAAAAAGACTTTTATTTTTACCTTCTTTTCCTTGACCAGTGTATCAAGGGCTTGAAAAGAGGGCATGACTGCCTTGTTCATTTTGTGCACAATGCATGACTTCTTCTTAAAGAGCCTGGTTACAGCAAAGCCCTATTAAAGAAGATGGTAGATGGTAAGGAGTTATGTTCTCCAAGGTGCTTTTCTCATCAGAAATTAGTTTCACCAGCAGAGGGAAATGGAACTCTGAGATCATGATGAACTGGGATAAAAGTGTTGGATCTGACCCTGTTTTGCAATCATATTTATTGCTAACATTTGTAAGGATAGACCACAAACTCTTTGAGGGAGAGACTGAGTGTTGAACTTGCTTCAGGTTCTAGCCTGGGAAGAGTCCCTCAACATATGTCTATTCTGCTGAAATAAAATTTTAAATACTATCATATTTTAATCTCCTTTGATCTTCACAACATTTCAAGGAGGCAGGTAAGACAGGAATTCGTTTTCTATTTGACCAGATGATAAAACTGGAACCATAAGGAGTTGGCTTTTCTAAAGTACAAAGTTTGTTAAATATAGAGCTGGTAATTGCAGAGCTGGGTGTTCTAACAAGAAACAACTGTTTTTTTTTGTTTTCACTCTCTTACTAATTAATATTGTCATTTACATTTCCTTTGGTCTTTTTGAGTTACAGATGAAATGTCAATTTCTGTCTTTTTAGAAGGAAATTGACAATAGAGTGAGATAGATTGTGCTTTGGCAACAGTAATATTATGAAGGTCTTTTGTCTTTATTGAGGGCTTCTGCAGGTAAGGCAAAAGATGTCATATTTGTCTTATAGACTCACAGCATAGTGGATCCTAATTACTATTCACACTGGTATGAATTTTAACTTACTGTGAGAAACTTATTAACAGCAATTATATCTAGGGAGTGAAACTGGGTGAGCAAAATAAGCATTTTTACTTATAACTCTATGCTTATGTGCAGTTAGAATTTACATCATTTAAACTTTTTTTATGGTTAGCAGGCAATTTTTGTTGTCGTTAAAAAAGAAATGCCATTTTGCAAAGAACAGAAATTGCATGTGGGCTACCTACATATTCATAGTCCCAGACGGAATTCCAGGAGTCCCATCCGTTGTTATTGTCAACATTGGCCACGTTATGTTCATTGTTGACACTCACTGACTGCTGCCCACTTCCACCACTGTTGTCGTCGTTGACATTGATATTCTGTAATTTACAAGAAATTGACATTGATTTAATACCACATTTCTTTGCAAATGCATTTTGGTAACACACTTTAAAAAATGAGACTTACATAGTTAGCAAGGGCAGGAGTCAGAAAGATGCCAACAAGTCCAGCAAAGACAATCTGAAATCACAAATAACATTGGTCTACTGTTAAATGGCAAAACGATGGCCTCGTCTTCTTTCTTTATCTAAGCTTATAAAAATACTTACTAACTTTACCACTCTATTGAGTGGTCTGTCTTTTCTTCTTCTTTGGTCTTCTATTTTTTTAACCATAGGAAGTTTTAATGATAATGTTGAATTGTAGGTTAATTATAAGTAATTATGTTGATTGTTTTAGAATTTTTAATGTAGGTCTTATGAAATACTGATGAAGTGTCAGTATATTGAAAAATAAAGTTGAAAATGAATAGCATATATGGTATGAAAATGGTTTTAAGTTCTGAGAACCACATCTGAAAATGGTTTAATTTTCCTATTTATTGCCCTGAATGTTTCTTCTCTTCCTAGACCCCCTAATAGCAGTAGTCTTTTTATTTAAAAATTGTTTTAAAGTAATGGATTAGTAAGCAGATTGGATATGAATGATGAGAAGCCGAGGATGGGGTGTCTGGCTGTCAAATGTGCTTAGCAGAAGGGAAGTCAATCACTGTCCCAGGACACCTGATGTAGTCATGTGTCATTGAGTACACAACGCTTGTTCTCAGGACACAGAGCTTTATGCAGGGTGCATGATTCTGGGTGCTTATCTTCATTCCCTTTGCCTGGAACAAAATGGTTTGAGAACTGCACTAGTAATTCAAGGTAATTTAAAAAATTGGTTTGATGTTTCCCCTGATAGTTTAAGAAGGAGATTAAAAAAAATTCAGAGGTGGAAGAAATTTTAGAGATCTATTAGTACAACATAATCCTTTCACAGATGAGGAAACTGAACTTCAGAAGTTGAGTGACTTGGCCAAAGGTGTACCTTTTGCTCAAGGCAGAACCAGAAGAGAAACCAGATATGACCTGTGTCTGGAGGTCTTTTTTTTTTTTTTTTAACCTTCCTATTAGTAGAACTTATTTCTAGGGATTTCCCTGGTGGTCCAGTGGTTAAGACTTCGCCTTCCAATGCAGGGGGTGAGGGTTTGATCCCTGGTTGGGGAGCTAAGATCCCACATGTCTCGTGGCCAAAAAACCAAAACATAAAAATAGAACTTATTTCTAGAAAATGATTTCACACTTGCAACTCCATTATGAAGCAGAGTCTGCTGTAATATATTTTAATGTTTAGTATGTCAAAACATGAAAATATTTACCTGACTCTAGCGCTTCTGCATCCTGTTATGAGACACACAGCACCACCAGTTACTTTGGCAGAATTTTGTGGTCCATTTGCTACACTCTTCAGCCTTTTATGGAAACACAAGTGAGATGTTGCACTAGCTTCATGCTTCAAGTGTTTTCATGAATAAATGGCTACAGACAGGGTCCAAGGTAGAACTTTCTTAGAGATCCATTTCACAGGGGAGAATGTGACAGTAAGTCTCTTGCCAATTTGTTTTGATAATAAGCTTTTTATCTTGCCTGAACATACTCAGAAGTTTTGGTCAAAAAGGGAATTTAAGAAGGTATGAAAAGTCATACATTTTCTAGGGTTAGAGACTGCTTGCTCTGTGCCCAGACCTGAATCAGGAGATCTGGAAAGTAATTTTTTTAAACATAGCATAGTGTAAGATGCTCAGGCATCTGACCAATCCCAGTATGACTATCCTTCTCTATAGAGATGCTTATAAATGCCATGATTCCATGAAAAGAAAAGAGATGATGATTTATTATTATTTTTACAAAATTTTGCATTAAAGTGATATTGTCATAAGAAGCAGACCCCCTTAGCTCAGAATATTAACAGTCTCCAGTTATAAGGGAATAAATTCAAAAGGAAATATCTACTCACTGTGAACTTCATCTTGACTTCACCAAAGCAATGAAGCCAGGCATGGACTCAGAAAAAAAGTCTTCTCATATTTATACTTGACTCAAGCTAGGTGTGAACAGGTGGGGTCCAAGACTTATCTTTCTCCATTTTCCATATCTGTGCTACGTTCTGGTGTACCAGGAAGCCTTTTGGAATATCCGTCTGGTTAGCAAGGTATTTTGACATGGAGTTGATCTGACTCACTCTTTGTTGAAGTTGAAGATATCAAAACAAACTCAGTATGATTTATGATAACTTCTGTTCCAACTGAAGCTGTGGGTGTGGGTATTTTATATATTGATATTACTCAGATTCAGAAAAAGAATCATCCCTAAAATCAAACAAGGCAAGAAACTGTGGGCCTTGTAGATAGCACCTCCTGGAAGAATGGGGAATGGTTTCCTCTTTGTACCTTTAACCAAGCCGCTGTGTTGCTTTTGCTTAGGTTAAACATGTTCTATTAGCTACTCCCACAAAACCTATAACCTTCTCTGCAATCCTGAGCTCTTTGGATGACAGGACCATACATCTAGTTAGAAAATCTGGGGCTCTCTTTGGTCTTTTTTCTAACCATCCAGTTAGTTACTAAACCTTGTCATTTCATCTCAGTCAGAATTGATGCTCAACTCTGGCTTTGCCCACAGCTTCATTCACCTGGACTTTTACAGCAGTTGTGTAACTGATCATTCAGGTCATCAGTCTCTCATATTCCAGTGCATTTCCCCCACATTTTCCCTAAGGTTGTCTTTTAAAAATACATGTATAAATAAACTGACTCTACCATGCTTAGCAACTTTCACTGGCAGCCTACAAGATAAACTTCAAGCTCACTGGAATGGCACAGACGGTCCTTTATAGTAAGGTTTCCAAAGTCTCCCCAGTTGTATCTGTTGCTCTATAAACCTATATTCCAGCTACACCACAGTTCCACTTTGGTGGGAATATTCAGGGTGGTTCATGCCTCTATGCCTTCGCACATGTAGTTCCTTCACCCTGGGGTGCCAACCCCTTGCCTTTCTCTAATTGGTAATTGCTATTTATTTTTCAAGGCCCAACTCACATACCGCTGCCTCCATCATGTCTTCCCCGTATCCAAGGGGGAAACTTTTTTCTTTTTTTTCCTGGAGCTATAAAAGGAATCCCTGTCCTCTTATTTGTTTCTAGATAATTTAATTTTCAGAAATGATGTAAAAATAATTTTTAAAAATGTTTTCATCAGAAGCAGAGAGTAGATCTTGTCACTTGGGCAAACAAGTAAATAAATGCTCAAAACAATCTTGGAGGTGAATTAAAGTTTCAATTTTTTTCCTGCTCTCTCTTACAAATGGAAGCTAGTAAATAAGATTGCTGAGGAGAAAAACTGTATCTCAGGAATCACTGATCTATAAATTTCCCCTTTGGAAACCTTCCTGAGCCCATGATTATCCGTATATGCATGGATTGGAATCACAGCACTGGGTCACATGGTTGTAAAGCTTGCTTAACTACCCACATCATTTTCAGAATGTTAGCATGAGTGGATTAGTGTAGCTGTGGTAAGATTTTGTTTATGTTTTTAATGTGTCCACTAATCTCTTCCAAACTTGCTCTTTAGCTGCAAAAGATCACTAAGCCTGGGATGGAGGGCAGCCATCTGTGAAGAGGTTTCCTTTCTTTCTTTTTTTTTTTTTAACATCTTTATTGGAGTATAATTGCTTTACAATGTTGTGTTAGTTTCTGCTGTATAACAAACTGATTCAGCTATACATATACATATATCCCCATATCTTCTCCCTCTTGCGTCTCCCTCCCTCACACCCTATCCCACCCCTCTAGGTGGTCACAAAGCACCGAGCTGATCTCCCTGTGCTATGCGGCTGCTTCCCACTAGCTATCTGTTTTACATTTGGTAGTGTATATATGTCCATGCCTCTCTCTCACTTCGTCCCAGCTTACCCTTCCCCCTCCCCATGTCTTTAAGTCCACTCTCTACGTCTGCATCTTTATTCCTGTCCTGCCCCTAGGTTCTTCAGAACCATTTTTTTTTAGATTCCATATATATGTGTTAGCGTATGGTATTTGTTTTTCTCTTTCTGACTTATTTCACTCTGTATGACAGACTCTAGGTCCATCCACCTCACTACAAATAACTCAATTTTGTTTCTTTTAATGGCTGAGTAATATTCCATTGTATATATGTGCCACGTCTTCTTTATCCATTCATCTGTTGATGGACACTTAGGTTGCTTCCATGTCCTGGCTATTGTAAATAGAGATGCAATGAACATTGTGGTACATGACTGTTTTTGAATTATGGTTTTCTCAGGGTATATGCCCAGTAGTGGGATTGCTGGGTCACATGGTAATTCTATTTTTATTTTTTTAAGGAACCTCCATACTGTTCTCCATAGTGGCTGTATCAATTTACATTCCCACCAGCAGTGCATGAAGGTTCCCTTTTCTCCACACCCTCTCCAGCATTTGTTGTTTGTAGATTTTTTGATGATGGCCATTCTGACTAGTGTGAGGTGATACCTCACTGTAGTTTTGATTTGCATTTCTCTAATGATTAGTGATGTTGAGCATCCTTTCATGTATTTATTGGCCATCTGTATATCTTCTTTGGAGAAATGCCTATTTAGGTCTTCTGCCCATTTTTGGATTGGGTTGTTTGTTTTTTTGATATTGAGCTGCATGAGCTGCTTGTATATTTTGGAGATTGATCCTTTGTCAGTTGCTTCATTTGCAAATATTTTCTCCCATTCTGAGGGTTGTCTTTTGGTCTTGTTTATGGTTTCCTTTGCTGTGCAAAAGCTTTTAAGTTTCATTAGGTCCCATTTGTTTATTTTTGTTTTTATTTCCATTTCTCTAGGAGGTGGGTCAAAAAGGATCTTGCTGTGATTTATGTCATAGAATGTTCTGCCTATGTTTTCATCTGGCCTTACATTTAGGTCTTTAATCCATTTTGAGTTTCTTTTTGTGTATGGTGTCAGGGAGTGTTCTAATTTCATTCTTTTACATGTAGCTGTCCAGTTTTCCCAGCACCACTTATTGAAGAGGCTGTCTTTTCTCCTTTATTGAAGATAAGGTGACCATATGTGTGTGGGTTTATCTCTGGGCTTTGTGAAGAGGCTTTCATCTGCTTTAGGAATTGTCAGATCACTTCAAAGTCAGAGTGGACAGCGTGGTGCCTTTACACTCAGCCATGGGTAGTCACTTTGGTCCATGGTGCAGTGCCTAGGATACTTTTTGTGTGTCATATCTTACCAAGGAGTTGAGGTTGACATATTTTCCAGTGGGCCTATGGAGTGCTGGTCTGGAAGATGCTCCATGACAAGTAAATAGATAGATAGATAGATAGAGTTCAGGGTTCAATAATCTCCCTCTTAGAGATAGACAACTCACATTCACATATCAAATGTGCCCAGGAATCTGTTGAGAAGAAATCTATATCATGTTGTTTCATCCAGATTCTTCTAAACTTAACTGACCATAGAACCTGGTTTTTCTTTTTTCTTTTATTGATTTATTTTTCCTAACACCTATTAACATTCCTGTGGGGCAACTTCCTTAGGGAGAAAACAATTGTGCTGCCTCTGAGGATAAATCTTGGATTTAAAAAAAATTCCTCCTTTATATAATATTGCTATTTCAACAGCTTCAAAAATCAGAAGAACCTCTTCCTCTGTACTTTGTATGGTATGTATGAAAATGTGTATATGTGTGTATGGCGGTGTCAACCCTGACCTCAACCCTAGTCTCATCCAAGGTCAAAAGTCTTAAGGAAGCATGAGCAAGTCTCTTGCTCCTTCCCACCCTGAGAGCTATGTTTTATACATTTCCTGTCCTCCCTTGAGAGAAAGACAGGACATGTCGATGTGTTTTTGTCACCTCCATAGAACCTAGAATATACTGGCACATATATGATGCTCCCTAGACCTATTTTAAAATTAGAATTGCATAAAGTAGATGCTCAAGCCAGAAGATAAAAAATGCAAAATATTTATTCACTTCTAATTTTTAGAGCCAGCTAGAGAGGTGCTGCCCTACGTTGGCTATGGTGATGCACCAAGGGAGTCCCAGGAGGTGGTGGTCCCAGTGCCCAGGGTTAGTGTGGGGCAAATCAGCCCCTGAGTAAATAAAGCCTGCTCTGCCCACAGATTTTGAAGCCAGGCCATGCCAAGAACCAGGCCCTATTTTATCTCACAGTGCACACAGCCAGGACCTCACCTCACCCCACACCCTGTATGGGTGGGAGCCCTCTTTGTGGGGATCAAACAGGACGCAATCTGAGTATGATACACTCAGACCACAGATCTGGAGGGCCTTTTAGAGCTGTCCCGCATAAATCAGACTTCTATTTCCCTTCTTTTTCTCTGAGTAGAAGGGAATGTTTACTTACAGGGCACTTTTCCATCATTAAATATCCTCATTCAAGATTCCTTCCCTGGTGTAGATGTGTTGATGGGCTGCCCTCACCGTCAGCATCTAGGAAGCCCTTAGGAATTTTGTCTTCCCTTTAATTCTCGCCCTATTTTCTGATATTTAGCACTTGGCTGGCCTTTAGCTCATGTGGCTTCATGCTATAATTTCTTTTTTTATTTTTTTAAATTTTATTTTATTTATTTAACGTTTATACAGCAGGATCCTATTAGTTACCTATTTTATACATATTAGTGTATACATGTCAACCCCAATCTCCCAATTCATCACACCTCCACACCACCCCACCACCACTTTCCTGTCTTGGTGTCAATACGTTTGTTCTCTACATCTGTGTCTCAACTTCTGCCTTGCAAACCAGTTCAGCTGTAACATTTTTCTAAGATTCCACATATATGAGTTAATATACAATATTTGTTTTTCTCTTTCTGACTTACTTCACTCTGTATGACAGTCTCTAGGTCCATCCACATCTCTAAAAATGACCCAATTTCATTCCTTTTTATGGCTGACTAATACTCCATTGTATATATGTACCACATCTTCTTTATGCATTTATCTGTCGATGGGCGTTTAGCTTTCTTCCATGACCTGGC